AAGTCGTATTTGTTTGGGATCGGATTTTTATCATAAAATATCAAATACAACAACGCATAAGTTTCTTACACCTTTATCTATGAAGAATATTGTTCCCAGATGGATGCAATCGTCATCGGACAAACGTTTGTAACACAAAGATGAATTAAATCCAACGTTTTTCCCGATTTAAATTTGATTGATATCAGCAAACATTGTTCGCGTTTCATTGAAAAATAAATCAAAAGCGGCAAAAATGATTTGACGTTTTGTTATGACAATGTGGACGTGAGGCAGAAAGAAAGTTTGTGTAACAGAAAGCGTCTCCGGGTACCGGGAACTGAGGATTTCGGCGATGCCTTTGATACGAAAGCGTTAAGCGGGTTACAGCATTGCCTGGAACCGCTTGTTTGTTTGTCGGACTGTAAAACTGTTGGGAATCGTAAACGATCGTGTGTGGCCAGCCCTTACGGCGAAATACGACCAGATGGGCCGAGATCAAAAGACTGCGCGATGATAAAAAAACAACGTTAATGTGATTCACAAGTAACAACTCAGTAGTAGAGACGCGATGCACGCTGCGAGCTATCGCCCGGGTGTTTTCTTTCTCGCTACACGCCGTATATTCAGCATTAACGCGACGTGCGAGGGCCCGGGGTATAACAATCCCATTTTCCAGGTATTTCCCGCACTCCATATTGGTTGGATTTGTCGGAAGCCGCGTCGCCGTCGCCGCGCAGAATCATTAGCCACCAAATCCTCCCTATCTCTGCCGCCGTCGTTGCCGAAACTATTGCCAAATTTTACAGGGATTCACTTTTTGTCAACATGGGAGAAGTAGAATGGATAATTTTTGCACGGATACCGATTCTATTGCTTCATTTGTGGCGGATGGGTAAGACTGACGCAAACATCCCATGCCATCCCTAAAGATTGATTTACATAATAAAAAAAATCTCTACACAATGCCATTGATTCTAATTTTTAAGCAAAGTATTTTTATAACGAAAATTATTAAATAATTTTCAATATGTTCAATGCAATTTATTTGTTTAAATGTATAAACAATGTCTGGTTAAACAGCAATGATTGAGCAATTATAACTTTCTATTTCTCCATTATCAGACGTCTGCGGCAATGCCGGGTAACACCCGGGTAGCGGCCGGGTAGCGCCGGATCGCACGGGCGTTATTAACCGGGATTACCGGATCCCTTTCTCGATCCCCGGATATAGGGATTTGCTTCGGGATCGGATCCTAGTGGAAATGATAAAAGATATGCGCTACGCTTCCCGTTTGATACTAAATGATAATACGAAATCCCCTCTCCCTACTAGCATTGAGTAACGCGTCTGAATCATCGCTAATCATTTACGTGTTGTCGACACCGCGGCCGGGACGCGCAACGCATTGCAATTTAATAACACCATAACACCTTATAAATTATTTATTTTTAATGACGGGAAATGTTTAGTTTTTTGTATAGTACTATGTTGCAGCTAGAGCAGGCGCGAGCGCGACACGTCGCTCTTAATTTTTATTTAGATGACTCCGTTAGCGAAACCCGGCCGCCACCTGTCAATGGCCATCCCGACCGGATACATGTAAATTGACCTGTTTATATTAGTCCGATGCTCAAACGTCGCTCCAAACGAATGATATTATTGTTCACACTCGTGTTAATAAAAACTTCGGTTATAAAACGCATCGAAACTGAATTAATTAAGTATATTTAAGTTTTGTCATTAAACAAATATGTTTATATTGTTAACAGCGAGGACGAGATATCCCGATATTTCCGTATTCCTCGTAGATAAAAAGCTGTCAGCGTCGAATTTACGGGCGACTTTATACCGAACATAAATAACAGAAGGGGTATCGAAAATAGACGGGAATCCGACGGGGATTTTAACATCAAATCCCTAAAGGACGAAAAAATAATGAAGGAGTGTTGTAGAGAGAGTGGAGTAGAGACAGATGATCGGGCAGGCTGAGCACCAATACCAAGAGCGCATGAGCCGCGTGTAGGCGAGTGCATATCGCCGGACAAGCGATCGCACTTAGCGCCGCGCATCGCCGCCGCCGCGCTATCGCTCCGCGTCGCTCGCTGCATTAGCGCTGTCCCGCTGTCTCCGATGATAATTTATAGAGCATCTCGCGGCACGCCGCTGCCGCCCTAGTCACTCGCTCAAATCGACTCCGATTTAGCTGAAAACTTTAACTAGACGTTTCGGCGTCGTGGAATCAAACCCCCAATCGTCTTTCACACACAACGCTGTTCCCACACGTTTCGCAATAAACTCGTAGGCCAGATAACTTGTAGTTAATCCCGAGAGATTCTTAAGTTTAATCGCGATATACATTTTCTCAACTTTATTATGTAAATCTGTAAATGAAACCAGTTATCTCGCTTTCAGGTTCTGGAGGTCCGATGCGGCTGCAATAAATGTTTAAGTGACTTATATCATAATAAACTAGTTCCAACTAACGGTTTCTATCATCGGATTATAAATTTTATTCAGATCGGTCGCATCGAAGAGTTGTAAAGTCACCTCGGACGTAAATAACTGTATTTCGTTATCTCGTCCATCGACAATTTTGATTGATTAATTCCTTCTTAATTAAGTACAAGATACAAGTTTTTATGCAACAATATTGTAACAAAAACGTGAACAGCTATCATTTTTACAATACATAGATAGGAGACAAGCGCTCGCAATTTGATCAATTGATTTATCAATCTTTAACAGATGACATCATTTGTAGATTAAAGAAAAAACGTAATTTCTGATATATCTATAAATTAAATTTAAATATATTTAAGGGCAACTTGTGCGCTTGTAATAGCGACAGAATTGGGCAATGTTTTGGCGTACGGTGGTGCTAATGGAGTCGGGTTCGGGAGCGTCGAAATTGTCAAAGCTGTGGGGTTACGAGGTATAAATAGCCGTGCTGCAGGCGGCTGCGAGCCGCTCTGCTCGTATGCACCGCTATTATTGTATATAAGCCGCTTATTAAGAGCGACTCCCACTCGCCGGAGAGGCACGCAACGTTATAAGATCGGGCTTACATACATTCGCCTTGAGACTGTTATTTCTAATAAATCTTTATTATAAGCAATTTTTACATTTTAAACACACATGCGATATAAAATCTTACTATTTTATTACGTAAATAAAACAAACATAATCCATTACAAACAATTTCTTATTAGATTTGTAACATTCTTATCTTGTAAGAAAAAGTTGATGTAAGTAAGATGGTAATATATAAGCAAAAACAATCTTGGTATTGTGACTTGTTGAATATTTATAAGAATAATAATGACGTCTTATGTGAGGATATACCGTAATAAGAGAGCCCCATGTAAGCCCGCGCGTACCCACTAAGTGGAATCAGAGGAACATTTCCAAGTAGGGCCGCGTCACAGCGCGGGCCGGTCACACCGCGTGCCAGCCACGTCGCGCACTAAACCGGCTTTCTATAACGTAACGTTACGAATAACTTTACCATCTTTATTTTTATCCAAAACCAACAAATGTATTATTGTCTACCACAGATGAGGGTCAAAAATTTAACAGTGCTAGTGTTTAATCAAAGTTCAATGACTCATAGGTTCCTATTTACTGTTATTATATCGAAATCAATTTTTTAAAGATAATCAAAAACAATTGTATGTGAAATAATGTATAATAATATCTGTACTAAAGTTAATACAACATATTAGTGTTTTGGCTCGATTTATAAGGCACTGATGGCTTGTGTACCTTTCGTACTACATTTATTTGTTGTTAAATAAATTCACTTAAACTCTACCTTAAATATATTACTAGAAACTAAGCTCAAACAATTATCAGTGCACCTCTTGAAAGTTAACGTTAGCCAGATAGTTATGGCATCCGTGTTAACCGTAACCGGCTAGTTAACTTGCGTATGTGGTACCGGGCCGTCGTGCTCTCCTCGCGGAATGTAAATAGACTGTAGCCGGCATCAACCGGGCGAGCCTCGGCCGCTCACAGCTCGACTCGGCTCAGACGAGACGGAGGGAAAAAGTTACTTTAATTATTTATTTAGCACTAGCTGCGCATCGCGGCTTCACTCGGACTTTGAACCGACCCGGACTCGTACAATTAATGTATGAACTCTTTAAAAATCTAAAGGTCTAAGTATTTAAAAGTAGGAAAAGAATATGAGGCGACTTGCAATTTTTTAAATGGTCCCACGGCCTTCAGTTAAAAGAATAAACATACAGAAATCCATGAAGTTTTATTATAAAACTTGATATTATTTGTAGGATCGCATGTAGGTCGGTGAGGCAGTGAGTTAAGCATAGTTAACATATTCTAAATATAAACACCTGTCGGCTATTTATTTCTGGAATATGCACGCAACCAAGTTCCCTCCGCACGTGAACCCTGACCACCGCAGACGGACACACAGTCACGGAGCGAGACAAGAATGTAACATTCTATCGATTTATTACAACGAGTAAGAACGTTAGATAGAAATATCACTTAATCTTTTCTATTTTATCTTTAATTACTCATAAAAAGTTCATTTAAGATTAATATAAAAGTGACACAACTTACAAATGGCTTAGTTTTTACTAAAATCTACTAAAAACATAAATATCTTGAATATTATTGTAATCGTAAGTGAAGAAAGCGATAGTTACCGTTCGGTACTTGACATCTGTCAACATGTCACCTGTCAGCTGTCAATTTGTCAAACCTGTCACGATAGCGCGATACGCGATAGGTCTCGCCGTGATAAGATGATAGGGAAGGGGCCAAGTATTGTCTTTGTACTCATGATATCACGTTATTCAGTTTTCCTTAAATATAGTGGAATATTATGAGATCGAGTTACAGTTAAGTAACTCTCTTGAGGAGGTTATTTATAACAATAGACCTTTTATAATTATAAACACATTGTACTTTTGTGGAATTTTTATGTGTTGCCGTAGTTGTACAAATACGTCAAATAATACTTATATTAACATGTAGTTTTGTTTTGTTCCAGATGCGATGGGTGAGTGTTCCCGTGTTCCCGGCAGACAGCAGGAAGCCTCATAAATCATGGCGCGCGTAAAACGGCCATGTTAACAAAAATTCCAATCTTCATAAAACTCCAAAAAATAATTACGGCCGCGTCCCATACTTTTTTCTTTCTTCTTAATTTTTTTCAACGCAAAATGAGTCAATCGACCAACACTAGGAGTCGAGGATTCGACTTGGCTCGTAAACTTTGATTAGGTCATTAAAGCATGTTAATTTATTAGCTCTCGCCTTACATGCGCTTGTGAATAAGGAATGTAGATCTTAACTCCCACGGGATACAGTCAAAAGTTGTGGAACGGTACTGAACACACATTAGACCTTTTGGAAGTGTCAGGTTAGCGTGTAATCGAAAATTACCTTTAGTGTAATTAACGTCTCGGTGTAAAATTTCGAAGTTCACGGAGTTGGAACATTTTTAAAGTTCTGGTTGCGTTATCGATTATCGTTTCATAGATTATTTTATTATGTCTTTGTTATGAAGTGGGAACAGCATTCCAACTGGTAGAAATGTTTTATTTAATATCGTGTAACTACAATTATTGATGCACAGACAATTTCAATATTCATATTGGTCGACAAAATGGCGCGTTCATTTTGGACGTCAAAAATTGGGCGGGAAATGATGGCGTGAGAATCGATGCGTTCATTTGTCGCTGGAGTCGCGCATTAAATAAATTATCAATAAACAATTTTGACACGTGAACGCACTCGTTCGTCTGCACATTTGTGTAAATATCGCGAATAACTATCCAATGTTTCGATCAAACCGATGGCTTGTTTAAATTACTTTGTTGTTAACGAATAAGTTAACATAAAAACGTTACTGTTTATAGTATTAGTGGAATTAAAATATCGGAAACGGTGAATACTATTTCTAATCTTTCAAATCGTGTTATCGACTTTGCTTTGTTCGTTCATCTGTTCGTGCTGTATCGATAGACAATATTAATTAAATCTATAATAAGTTCCTACTGCTACGATTAGACTAAATCAAACCGTAGGGCTCCGTATTTATTTTAAGATAAAAAGCTCGATTATTTTCTCCTCGGAAATACAAGACATGTTTTTATTCTTATGACAACTGTCATCTACGTTACTAGTCTGAAACTACGTAAAATCATTTAGTAGCAGCTTTAAAATACAATAATTATATGGTTCAAATTAATTATTATGAGTTGCCAATAATCACTAGCTACTCGATGTGTTTTGACCTCATCAAAACAATTCTTCCAAACCCACGGATCTCTGAATGTAATTAATGCGCTGGAGACTGCGCAGGCGCAGATATCTAATGGCAATTGTTAATTATAACAATACATTTGTCTCAGTAACGTTACGAAATTAAAATTTGATACGAAAGAAGAAAAATATATTAATGAATTAAAAAAACACTGATTTTAAGATATAATTTAAGTCTAATAAAATGTTTAAAATCCGATAGCTAATAAAATGGTAGACGCGTTGATTATAATCAGTTTTTAAAGCGCATTTTTGCCTGCATTATATTTTTGTTTATACATCTTAGAGACAGATGGAGCGCGTGACGCAAGTGCTATAATCTGTGGCGACGCTTGCCAGAGCAATTGTCTATTAAACGACAGTAATGTCTTTATGGCGCTTTCACTTATGAATGAAGCCAAGTCGATCCATTATATCAACAATTATGTATCATAGCAATTTCTTACAATGGCAAAGAAATCAATCTTTGTATGTGATATAATACAATTACTAAAACTAAAATCAGTTATAAAACGAATTTCAAATATAAACAGCACAATAATAGAAAAGGCAGACGATAAGTCTCAACTGTCAAACGTTCAGAAATATGTAAGTGGAGCACAGATTGAAAATTCGCGCGCAAAATTCAAGATGGCGACCTCGGCAGCTCGTATATCAATGTTGATTTACGCGCCACGGTCGAGGTCGACGGCCGCCCGAATTTCCTACAGAAATGCACTCGCCGAGTAATTTATTTGTGACCATCTATTATTTTGTAGACTCACGAGGTCCTAAACGCAGCTGACATTAATATATCATTTTACGCGACGGCGCGACTTACTTTCGCTCCGTCTCTTTCGCACGCGAGGGCATTGAATATATCGGAAAGGGACAGCGATCGCGAGGCAGAGTAGTTTGCGTTTTCACTTTTTATAGTAGCAATATATTTGATCAGCTGATCGCCATGACGTTTACAGCTCGGCCGAGTGTAATGTATTTCATAATTTATATAATAGTAGTTGTGTTTTTATTGAGTTGACTGAGGTCGGGATTTGTTTATAACTTTGAATATTGAACTAACGACAATAACATTGGCCGATGTGCTAAGTGACATGCAAGGTTTTGATACTAATTTCCATACATTTGGGGCTAAAAATACACACAAGTTTTGCCATCTGTGGCTACGTTCCTTCAAGCTGGGTCTAGCGCGGTGCGGCGTGGCATCTGCTCTGCACATGGCTTTGCTCACATTTTACTCAATTGTATTTGAGTTAATCTTATTAATATTTGATTTTTTAGTTTAACTTTCGAATTGATACGAAATCACGTTTTTAATTATCGACAATTTTCTGATGTTACGTTTTTGTTCATTGTAAAACATAACTGAGCTTAAGACATCAAAATCTGGACACAATAATAATGGGTTACATCTTAGACCCAAAAGGACCAAATTAACTGAAGTTCAATTAGTATTTTGATGATGTTATAACACTCTATGCAACTTACTTAATCTACGCATCTTGTGTCAATGTAAGAAAGCTCAGTGACAGATGCCATCGAGTTTCATGATTAGCGCTAGTTCCTTGACTTCGTGTCATTATAACAAATTCGGGTCGCTGAAAGTACATGAAGGCACACTCGACCATGGACTGGTTACATGTGAAGTGTTGCAGTGAGGGTGTTTGGTTAAAATTAGTGTGCGTGCCGGCGAGGCGGGGGCGCGGGGCGGGGGCACGGGGCGAGGACAGGGGCGCGGGGCGGGGGCCGCGCCCGCACGTGGGCCCTGTAAATATTTTTGGAGGCAATCGATTTCCGAAATCCATTCTGTACCCTCGCACCGACAACGCGACGTAAGGAAACGTGGATACGACTTTATAAACATGAAATTTTAATTACATTTGAAGAGCGAACTAGTTGCACTTAAAATTATGAGATATTAAGAACGAATTTTGTTAGTCAATTCGCACACGACTTACAGTTAAATCGTCGTCAGTTCTCTAATAAAATCTAAAACAATAAACAAGCGTATGCTAGATTTTATTTCGATGTATCTTCTTCTTATAATAATATCTTAACGTTCCATAAGAACACGTTTCCTTCTTTATCAAGTCTCAATGTTGTGATATAAACAAAAACTAATGGCGTCTATCTAAGCTGAAACGAATTGAATATCTATAGAAATAACGAGCTGGCGATTACAACGAAAACACTTGTCGCATCCACACTAATCGACAGGCATTAGCGCGTATCGCACGGGCCTACCATCATTAATCTACGTGACAGTTCAAAATTTAGTTACCGAGGGTCGCCCCCTCCCCCCTCTGCCCGCCGCAACCGCGCCTCGGTCCCCGCGCGCGCCATCACCCAGCGCGCACAGTTTTTGAGTCACAGAGCTCTAAGCTCTAAATAAGGCCCGACCATTCGGCAAATCGTTGAGCTTTCGTTACATTGTCCACATTCAAGAGATTAACTTCATGTTTATTGAAACTGCGAGGACATCGTTGTTCCATCAGTAGACAGATAAAGATACGTTCTCGTTGCAAAATGCAACTGTTGCTGATAATGGTTTAAGGTTTTTAAGAAGCTTTCATCATCAAACAATCAGTTTGTCTCCGTTCACAATATTGCTAATGAAACAAATATAAACAAAAGACTACACACAATTAAACTGTCTAGGCACCATTTAGTTTGCGTATAATGTATTTGGTAGAGTATCGATTGCTAAATACCAGAGTAGCAGAGCTGTGGAGTGGCGCCCCGCAGCGCCTGCCGCCGCCAGACGCCGGCGTCTCGGCCGTGCAGCCGCGCTAATTGCTTTCATATTGTACCTTCACTTATGTCTACGAGCCTGGTAATTCGGCTGTCGCGGATATACGTTCTGAAATCCTGGTACAGGGGGTAAGATCAAAATAATATTCTCATTCAAAACCCCAAAATACTTGCAGTTAGACAAATAGATGAACACGATTATCTTACACAAATAACGTAGCAGACAGTATTCTTGTAATTCAAAGAATTTAAGACTAAAGTTATGACAATTTCGAAGATCGCTCTAAATCTACAGTGAGCTTCCTTAAGGATCAATTTTATAAATATCTTCATTCAGTGATGCTGTAAAAGCAAGCTAATGTTTTGTATAGGTAATGATGTCGCATGTTCACTATGAACAGAGATCGTTGAACCCGCGTAACGACATGGGAGGAGGTCCTGCTACACCTCGTGTCATAGCGCCTTGTAATTTTTTCCCAACGTCGGCATGAGTAATCACATTTCCGTAAACCTTCCGCGTTTGTTCGAGCCCCTTAGTACGATGCCGAAACGACCTACCCCTAACATCTCGATGAGCGAAATCGAACCGTGAATATATAGTAATAAAGTTGCATATTAGTCGCGGACAGGTGGAGTAGAGAACGCTGTGGCGGTACCGGCTCAGGTCCGCCAACGAGCCCCGTGACTGGCACAATTCCGGCCCCGGTCTGTATTTCTGCCGTTTTTATTACGTTCCGTGATAATCTCGGTATAGGCATTTTGAATTTATGCGCACTTTTTTCTGTATAAATGCAAATTTATAATGTGCCTACGCGTATATTTCTACCCTTCATAAGTTCGTGTAGGAAATTATGCACGATTAATTTCAGTAGAGGATGCGTTGCTGTACGTCCATATTGTTATTTTTATAACATTTCCAGTTCATATTACCTCTTACTTGAAGCAGTTTCAACTATCAATTCTAGTTTATTTTACTTAAATTTGTGTTCTCAGTGTCCCTTCAGAATGAAGGCCTCTTAAGTGAAAAAGAGCTATGGACTCTTGCAATATTCCTACACAATAAACAACAAAATATGATCAAGGACATTGACCAGGAGTATGTTCCAGTGACCTATCGTATGACCAACAGCTGGTACATAGCGCACACCTTGATGATCGATGGCGCGCTGTCAACGCGACAGTGTCAAGGTCGACTTTGACAGCTGTCAGACTGGCCAGACTGTCACTGTCAAAGTGGGGCGCTGAAAAACGCGCGCTGTCACCGCGTAATGGATCGCCTTCCGGGGCTGACGATGCGGCGGCCATAGCTGTCAGGGACGTCGACCCCGAGCCCCAGCCTCGGGAGCACATGAAATATTTATCTCTTGTATCATATGACACATTTTGAGCACTTCGTTAACTTTAACTTTTTTAATTATCAACGATTTCGTCTTTATGATCTTGACAACTTATCCAAACATTGTTCGAGGACTCTGTTATGAATTGGTCTGCGTCGTATTGCAAACTTCCGGATTTTGTGATATCAACTATCAGTCAGTTTGTGTACACACATACTGTTAATTAAGATAACTGCGTCGTGTTGAGATAAAAAGGTTGACAGTTTTTATGTCTTTACTTTTATTATGACAGTCTTTTACATTCTCAAAGATATTAGTTATTTATTTTTGAGACGATAATCTACGAAGTTTAAACTAACTGAAGATTCTTTAAAAAGTGAGAAGTTAATTTAGCATTCATAAAGTATAACTAATATTAATTAATATTCAAATTATAATTAAATGAGTCATGAAGGAATACTTTGGCTGATGCGTAGTTAATCGTTAATGGTATCAGGTGTACCGACAATGGATTCCAACGAGGGGCTAAAAACAAAACAAACTACAAGTTTATTAGGTACAGGTATCGATCTGTCGGTCCGTACCTACGGATGATGTACCTAGGCAGCCTCCCCTCGGGGCGAGGCAACGACCGCGCAGCGCGCACCCGACAAACCGCCTTACCCCCCACAGAACACGATGCCTTTTCCTTTGACAAATAGCAATTTTCTTATGACGATTCTAAGTCTCCTGTATCGATTGTAGAAGTGGGAAAGAGCGTAAACGACTGTATCGAAGTAAGGAACAAAGGCCCCAATGGCCGCCGCGGCCGCGCGAGCCGCCGTAGGGCGGGCGGTCCGCCTGCTCTGGGCGGGGGCAATTAACCAACTTCCTTGGCGAGCGTGTTTAAAAATGCATTTTTTATTGCTCCAGTTTTCATGGTCGGCTATAATTGAAGTTGGTGTAACAGAATTAACCTCATGTTACAATGAAGAGATGGCTTTTTAAAAAGTTTTTCCTTCGAGCGGAAACTTCTTCGTCTAAACTTTTTTATAATTTCCGGCAGTCACGGAACTCGCTTTGATTGATCCTGATAGTTAAAAAGAATGAAAATAAAAGATTAAACTTCGAATTTAACTACGAATAACAGCAATTTATTTTCCCAAATTAAGCCGAGTAATAGATATTTCGCATAGGTGTTAAGGGTTGTTTTCATGCACGGGTACACTTTTATTGGCAGAGTTGTAAGAGTCCGAATAATTCAATAATGAGAGGAAACTTAACACATCTTTAGCCTGCAATAAGTTAAGCATATTCACATTTAATATAATACTTACTTAGGAAACATGTTTCCTTATTTGCAGAAACGCGTGACATTTTGTTAAAAGATTTTCTTTATCTTGTTTAAAATGATAATAAAGTTCAGATCATGCCTACACATAAAATATGCTACAAAAAACTCGATGTATCGATTTCCTATTGGCGTAGACAAAGTCTAGAAACATGTATGTATTAATGTATGTATCTCGCGAAAGGTTTAATTGATTGCCGCCATTTTGGTTGTGACGCGTCGATAGTGATGTTTAAATCAATCTAACTTGTTATTTGTCGATGATTTGTCAACGTCTCGTGCGATAGCAGCGTCGTAAGATATATATACTTTTGTCTTTACGACGTTGACTAATTTTTGTCTAGTATCGACTATTTATACAGGATGATAGAAAACCTCTAAATTGGCAATGTCTTAGTCACCGGTTTTGTTAAAATTACAAATTATAATAAATTGGCAATCGCCGACTAAGATCTATGGATTCTTAAATGATGTCATATATTCTACAATCTACAATAATACATTTATTAAAACTGTTTTCTGATATTAAGTTTATAAAATTCTTTTTTTTTTTAATATCAGTTAAGACATTTCGCTCAATTTAATTTTAAATTACCATACAAAAAGTAATTTCTAAATTCTCTTATACCATGGCTTACGAAAACGAAATACAATAAAATATATGAAAAAAAGCTCGCGACAGGCGCTCACCAGGGCCACATAAAACACGGGGTGTCTCGCAGGAAAAAGCCGTGTGATTTATCGTGAGAAGAGCGACATCTTTGGGCCTTCCATTATGTTTCGGGTGCATGCGTCAGGTATATCCCTTAGCAGGTGCGACCCTGGTACCTTGTCTAGCTTTTGTTATGTTTTTATAAAATCCTTCCAAATAAAAATTATTTGTTTTTTTTTCTTTCTTAAAAGTTGTGATAATAATTGTTGTGTTTGTGCCAGTTGTAAAAATGACATACACAGTTCTACTTTTAGTAAAATAGTTTTCTTTATTCAAGAAAACATAAACGGTACATAAGTATAAGTGTAAACTCACTAACGATAGCTAATAAATATGAATAAACCAGAAATTACTGCACAAACGTCAAAATGATTACAATGAAGCGAGGGAATTGTAAAAACAGTAATTAATAGCGATTATTGAGTAAAAATAATTGCCGGTTCCTTAAATAATGGGCCGCGGTAGATCTAATTCTCCGATTCTGTTAATCACTATTATTACAAGTGGGATGCGGCGGCGATGCCTGATGCCTATCACAACAGCTTTCCAAACCAACAATTGTTTTAATTCGGGAAACAGGAAAAAAAAAGAATTATGAATCCGTAATAACTACGTCCGAAAACGTTGCATTGTATTTCATGTTTTCTTTTTCACGTCCCTGTTACAGCTCGTGCCTTTTAATCGGCTCGATCTGTATCGCGCAATTAAATTTCAGTATTCAAATCCGTTTCACTAATAACTGTTAGACAAATCGATGTTTTATTCGGTTCGATTCGTATTTTTTTAATTACTGTTGCCTGCGTTCTTACAATCTGTTCGAAGCTATACAAAGCTCTGCGTTATTTGAATCTTCTCGAAAGTTCGATGACGCAATGTTCACTGTGAGAAGTATTCGCGATGCATTATTAGATAGTAATAATGTTTATTGGCGGCTTCATCGTGCAAGTGTTATTACGTAATTGATACTAGCAGTAGCATTTTTGTGGCGAGGCAAGGCTAGCGGCGGCGTGACGCAGCGTCACGCGCGCGCCGCCGCCGCCGCCGCCGCCGCGGTCGCCGTGTATAGACAATTTTCTTGGCAAATTCCCCGCAAGGGCCTCGCCCTCGTATAAATAACGCGGGCCTCGCCCTCGCCTGATATTCGCCAGGTTATTACAATTTTTCGCGTTATGAATATCGTCGCGAGCGGAGCGCGGCCCGATGCGGCGCCGGGGGAGTCACACCTCAACAATTTTACTTTAATTCTTATTTAGAGTGCCGCCTTATTTCGGTTACAAGATTCTTAGTATTTGTTTACGGCGTTAACTCGCTTTCGGCGGCGGCGATGGGGTAATTTTCGCTTTTTTCAACGGCGTAATTTCATCTAGCTACATCGCATCGGGGCGAGAGGAACGCAAATTGGCTATCTTATAGCGCGAGCGATAAAAGATAATGTAGCGATAGCGCGGGGCTTGCGGGATGTAGGTGCGGGGTGGGGGGTGCAGTGCTAGGGTCAAGGGCTGGCCGGGGGTAAGGTCCCGCGCATGGGCCGCGATCAATCATGCGCGCTCCGCTGGTCAGTGCGGCGCAAGCTTTTGTTAGAACTTTGAAAAAGAAACGCGACCAAAGTACGGACAAAATTACATCGGTCGTGTGTTCCGATATTCGGCCGCCCGCGGTTCCACAAATAAAAACTGACAACTCATTTCGGTGTTTTATTAATAATTCAAATTCACGTTCAGTGACTGTTGTAATGGAAAGTTTTAGATATCAGTGTAGGCGGAAAACTCAACACGTTAGTGACAATATTCGATGTACAAAATAACAGTCTGTGGGCGAACAATAATAACGCATTTATAGAGTGTGACACCGTTAAAAAAGTAAAGAAAATTGCTAATGGTGTATGATATTGCCTCCCCTCATTTTTGGGGTAAGAAAAGACTAGGGGTGGCGACACCTTCGCTCTCGGGAGAGTTTTTTTTTCCAAGTCGAGTATTTCTTGTATTTTTCGACGGGTGTTTTTTGCGTAATGACGTCGAGGTCCTGGGAGAGTTGAAGGAATCCATTAGGAAGGCGGGCAGGGCTTAATGCACGAGGTTTTTTTCTCGTGTTCCCAATCGGCAGCGGGCGAAAGTCGCATATGTCCTCGTATTGCACATTATCACCGATTGTGATGGCTTTTTGTTTCAGTAGTTGTACTGTAGGGTTGCCAAACCCATTCACAAAATCATAAATAAAAATTTGCAGAACTTTCAAATCATTATAACAATGAAAATAAGACTATAACTTAATATAACTTAAAACATTTCTCACATGGATGGATGGATAATTGTTTGTAGGTATCTCCAAAACGGCTGGACGGATCTCGATGAAATTTGGCATACATATAGAACATAATCTAGAAGAACACATAGGCATAATTATGTTTATGTTAAATTCCACACGGACGGAGTCGCGGGCGACCGCTAGTTGTCTTCTGACTTTTTATCACTGTTACAAGTTTTACAAGATTGATTTATAACAAGCTGTATGTATGAAAGCAGAATGTTGTGGTTGTGTTTACATTGTCGTTGTTGTTGCAGGCAAGTGGTGTGGGTCGCGGCGAGAGTGGTCGTCTCCGCCGGATGTTGCGCGCCGGGTCTACTCCTCCGTCTTCCTGGGTAGCCCGGGTGAGTACCCAGGTAAATATACAACGCAAATATTTTAAATTTACTAGTTATATTGTAAACTGACAGGTCGGTTAATTGCATGCTACGTCAGTTTTTTGTAATGTCTTATATCCTACAAGATTTGGTTTTGAAGTTGTCATACCATTTCGAAATATTTTTCGAAGACTTATTTGTATGGTAGATATACAATACATATAAAAGGATACATATACATATACGGGCTTATTGGTTTCTTATATCTTATATCTTTAAATGAGCAATTCTTGTATATATATATAATTGGAATCTCGGAATCGGCTCCAACGATTTTCATACAATTTAATATATAGGGGGTTTCGGGGGCGATAAATCGATCTAGCTAGGAATCATTTTTAGAAAATGTATTATATTCGTGTTTTATCGATAATCAACTTAAACATAAACTTAACTTTTTCTATCGGTAAGATCGAAAAATATTATTCATATTTCATGATTTTATTAGTAATTCGTACTTAAATATAATTTCCAAAAAACACTATTTAAAAAAAATACCGAGCAAAGCTCGGTCATCCAGGTACTAAAATTATTAAGTATTCAAAATAACAAACCGCAATCAATTCAACCTACAATATTATCTTTATGTAAGTTATCTTTTTAATCACTCAAACAAGGATAACTTCATTATATTTGCCGACGGAAAATTAATTCCTTATTTCAAATCACTTTTAATACTCTACTAATTGTGTATAAGTAAAATACAATAAAATTAAAAATACAAACATAAATTTAAAATAACTACGAGCGAATAATTAACTACCAGCACACAATATACCACATGTATATAGGAAACGATTTTAATTAATATTCTTAATTCGATCTTATTTTATCTCCGTAAATAAGCGATGTCAAATTGGCTTAAAGATAAAAATAAAAAAGCTAAAAACCAGGAATAGCTTCTGACAAAATGTACGCCGTCACGGACAGCCATATCGATTCCTTAATCATCATCATCAGCTCACTATACGTCCCCACCGAGGGGCTCGGAGCCTTTAAGTTAAGGATGATTAGGCCATAGTCAGTCCTTAATGTTCCCATGATATTAGCCGACATTTTGACCAATCAATAGTATATTTAACCATAGCTTTTAAGCCTGTTTTCAAATCAAAGTAAGTTAAACCCTATTTAATTTCTCCAAAATGAAATAAAGAAATTAACATGTTTTTTACAAAATATATCTACTCCATAAGAAAATGACGCCATCTTGTAAATTCCAATTTTAGTATTCGTCCAGTTTATTTATATATATGACAGCGCAGTCGACAATTGAAGTTTCATTACCGCTTTATTGGTGAAGACCAGTTTGCAAGGAGCATACTACATACAAACATTACAACAAACTCTAGACGCTTTTTACACACAAAGTATTAATAATTAAACTACCTCGTTATCATTAATCACAAGCCTAAATATATATTTTCTAACTACAGACACAGAGTAACAAAAATACAATCCATCTTGTTGATACGCCGCGATTATCTGCCGTACAATCATAGTCAGTACTAAAGAAATTAAAAAAAATCCTTCAGAACGTTTCAAATGCGAGCTTTACCTTACTTACTCACAACAATTAACTAACGCCATCTAGCGACAAACTAAATGTTTATATGTGATTGGTCTAATTTAAACTTTATTTGCATGTACTATAGTTTGAATTACCGTAACGAGGAAATATTGTATACGCGTAAATACCATATTTCTTTATGTTCGACATGTTTCTGTCTCTCTCTTATAATAATTCATCAGCAGCAATGTACGTTTCCATTGCACACCGCGATCGCTGCTTTTGTGCTTTTTAATTTTAATTCTTTAATATTCATAAAAGTGAGTCGTTGAAATAATAATAGAGTACTTAAATCAGAAATGGAATCGGCGAAGACGAAGTCAATTTATTCGGAGCTTCGTTACAATTCCGATTTTTATCTAACGTCCCGAATGAATGCCGCCGAAGACGGATTACAGTGGACGGAGAGGAGAGGCCGACAAAAACTTTGGCAGAGAGGGACGCTGCGAAGAAATCGATTCCGTCCTCGCTGAGAAAGGATCGCACCGGCACGAAAGAGCAAGCGCCATCTCGTCTTTACGACGTGCGAAAGAGATAAAACAATTCCTTATGTCGCTATTCTTAAGTCATTTGCGCATTCGAAATGGCACTTTACTAGCAGACATTAAGGTCGCAGTTTCATTGTTATGATTGCATATTGACGATTGTGGTGCGCTGCAATGGAATGTTACAACTTCATCTAACGGTGAACGCGATAACGTCCTTATGGCTTTAAGAATAAGGTCGTTATCGGTACGTGCGGTGCGGCATGCGGGACAGGCCAGCCGTGCACTGGCGGTCGCCATGGTTACCGGTCGGAATGTTTAGGCAGGCGGCGCACGGAGCGGCCGCTTGGCCGCGTCGCTCGTTCCGTTTGATCTTTACCATTAATTTAATTGCTAATAACTATAATGTTTATTTTAATATGTAATAATGAAATGGTACCGCTGGCAGCCTAATGGCGGCAGGAACCAGTACATATTGGGAGTTGATAACTTTAATAGTGTTTATTTCCTTATTAATGAATTAATTATTGACTATTTGAGTAACATAATTGTTGACATAAAAATGTAATGTCTGACATGTGGATACTTACGTAGATACTTTGTAACGAATGCTCGTTTTATTTATCTAAAACATTTCGTTATTTTTGTATACCATTTATTAACGTTTGGTTTTCTCTTTCATATACTGCCGACTTAGGTATTTAACTTAAGTTGCTTATATGGGCGTTCAGAGTAAAAATTTAAATTATTAGTTAAAAATTAAAATTGTTAGATTTTAGGTCACTATACATTTGTATAGTGATGCTCCTCGGACGAAGTTTCTCGCCCACATAATGACGGCGGAGCGCGGACTCATTTTTAATATTCTCTTTTCGAATTTATGCTCGAGATTCGAAATTAGAGAGGGACAGAGACGCGAAGCGAGGTAACGCACGGGTGCGAGTGAGAAAGCGTTCAATTGCTCAATTTGTGCCTCGGCTCATGAGGTGCCTTCGGGTTCCTTTTTCAAAAATCCAATGAGATCGATCGCTCGCCATGTCCGCAAATTAGAGCGGGAATCGTTGTTCGTTAGCGCTCGACTTGAACTCGAAGGTTTTAACATCCTTGTAGAAGTATGCTAAAGTAGATGTTATGTTATAAGTAACAAGAGCGATATTCCCTTGCGTGTTGTAATCTGAATCAACTTTGCTGGTGGGTCAAAGCGCGCCGCCGAGCGTACGGAGGTGCATTTTAGTATTACCGGCGGTCTCTGTGCTCTCATTTCGCCAGAACCTTTTAAAGACGCTGAAGATTCTCTACAGAAGATGGCCGGAGCCGTCTGCGAAAATTGCGTTCCCGCAATGGCCGTACTTTTATAAGTTCTTATATCGAAATTACGTTTTGGTAGTGAGAAACACGTTCAACTTGGAGCTTCCTTTGCGAAGCTTTTCACATATTAAGTATAGTAAGTATGTAAGAAAGTTCGTGAGTAGATTTTATTTAGCCAGTGTTATAAACCAACGTAAACCAACGCATGAAGAGCTGCTAAACATTTTTAACGATTTATTTTACCGCGTTTTACATCTACACTAAGTATTCAGATTGTTTTTTTAAAGCCTATGTTTTTGTTTAAATAATTCACACTTCAATGAATATAATAAACATTAGTATAAGTATTAGGAATTACCAATGTTTACCTGACCAATAATATTTACGAGCTGTCACTATGCAAGTAGCGGCTCAATAACCGCTGACGATGACGCGGCAGGAATGTCGCGATCGCGCAGTAAAAACTGTAAACCTGTGCAGTGACGCAGGCTTTTGCTCATTTACTGCCAACATAACAACATGACGGCAAATAACACTTGTATTATACTTGATAATATTTTACAAATACCGTTATTTTAGTTTTTTAAAACAATTTTTATATGCAACCTATTTGGCTTCTTTTCAAGTCTACTAGTCTACTATTAAGTAGTGATTTCTAGTTACTAGTCACGTTTACAAAGATCAAAATAACTAGAATTCAGATTCAGTGCATAAACAGCATTGTGCTGCAGTTAGGTGCGGCACAATTTGTCCTTCCCGACCTCTGGCCCGCGAGACTTCGGACCTCCGATTATATGCTAATGACGAGGAATAATCCCTCCTCTGTGGAAACTACAACGCGATAACATCTGTTACATTTCCCACGCTCTGATTGTCTGAATACTACTCTATATTGATAGATTCTCATGTCTTTACCCTGCCATATGCATTAATACTTATGTTCTTTTTGTTTTATCTATTTTAAAACTCTTTTCTTTTGACTTCATAATTTATTGGAATACTTTTAACACTCTGTTTATTTTATTTATATTTCGTTACTTAATTCAATGATAGATTGTACCTGCATCTTTTTTTTCATTTTTATGTCTATTTCTTTGTCTTTAGAATAATTTTTACTTTTATTGATACAACTTCAAACAATTGTAGCCACTTTAAATTGTATTTCAAACGCCAAATATAAAACAAATGGAGTCACTTAAAGTTATTTCTTTCATTGTAAGACAAGTTGACTGGTGAGTGTCAAAACAATAGTCATTTGTATAGCTAGTGTCAATGTTAGAAGTAGTGTCATATAGGTAGCGAAGTGCCGCGTGGGCGGAAAGTGCTCGTTTGAAACGTCAAGTGTTCGCTAGCATTGAAGGTAGCAAAAAATATATTGATGGTTACTTGCTATTTTAAATCCATTTAAATACATCTATATTAAATACATTTGTTACCTGACGGAAAGTGAATAATAATTTCGTATAAACAAAACTAAAATTAAGCAATATTCTTTCATCGTCATATCTCGGGCGATCCGTCAACATACTAAAACGATACAGTCTTACCAGTGCACTTCCTAATAGTGCAATGGAAACAAACCCTTATTATGTTACTCGAATTTGAACTGTCGGCGTACG